CTACTATTCAAATTCATGAGCAGAGGGTGAGGGAGTAAGGTAGGAATCATACTCAAGACCGCCACCTATACCTTATGAAATATTACTGATAAAGAAAAGAACATATGAAACTGTTCTTCAGGGGAAATACTAAAACTAGTAGATAGATCAAAAGTAATCTTTCATTCGTTAGATTTGACAAACCATCTCTTGAATCTAGCTTTGTAGCAATGGTAAACCCCTCGCACCCCTTGATGAATTTTATCTTAAATATTCAAAAGAATAAAAAAAACATATGGAACAAGATTTTGCCAATAAGTGGGATAAGTAAAACTCTGTCATACCTCTTCTTGAGGCATGGAACTAGATTTTCGAGTGCTCTATGGATGACAAAATCTTCTGAGCCCTCGTGATGACAAGAATCCTTCTTTTCTGCAATTGTACACAAATAGCCATTATCAGTCATTAACACAAACTTCTGCTGACAATCTAAACATGTAAAGCAGTAAATGCTGGGAGTAACAATAGCCACGTTGTTTATTTGATGTTATTCACCAAGCACCTTTTAAAATGATATGGATGGTTACAATGGTTACTGTGGTGATGAATTGGTTAAAACAACAAGGCACCTCTACCATGATATAAGTTACTGACGGGCAATCAATCACTCAGTCACCATTCTTACAATGAAAACTGATGTTTCCTCAATTATAATTTGAACAAAGTTAGGGAACAATGACACTGTTTCAACAGTAAAGCATGAATCCCTTTTCTTCAATGTTGTCCCTCTAAGGATAAAGCTTGGTTGGTATACCTTCATGACCTTCTTCATTGGACTGATCACGCCCCAGATATGAACTCTCGTTCATTTCTAGATTCAAACCTTCTCTTTGTGCAAATTCTTCCAATATATAACCTACCAAATTATAGGCAATTATACTTGTTTCATCACAAGCTTCCTGGACAGCAAGGTATCGATTTATGCAAGTGCTTGGTCTGTTCAAGACATCCCTTTGTTGATTCTTCAGTTCATCATCTTCAGCCTTGTGTCTCTAGAGAGATTTTGCAAACCCTGTGTTGGGTGACAGAAAAGAGAAGGGACCATCGCTATTGATTTTAGCAGAACTAAAGTTGCTCAATGGCTTTAAATCATCTATATCCATGCCATTCAAGCCTTCAGAACTCTTTGAGTCTTGGAATAACAAGGAAGAACTGCTATACCAAGCAGCAGTGGAGGCAATACCGGGTGAGATATCTGGCTCAGATTTAATTGCAGCAGCACTGTAAAACACTTTCCTTGGGGTGTGACTGGGAGAACTACCATTGCCCTTAATATTAATAAAAGGCAGGTTGGAGCTATCAGTAAATAGACTCTCCAGTACCTTCCACTGGAAACAATGAATCAATGTTGTCAGACCTTCCACTCTTTAATATCCTTGTATGTCTCTCATCTTCATAATCGGAGTCAGCGTCATCATCACTTTCTTCCAATTCTTCCATATAAGCATTGGCGAAATCTGTATCATACCCAATTTCCGGAAGCAAATCCCAGACATTCTGCTTCATATGGGCACTAACAACCAAAATGCATTCTACTTCTTCTTCAACTTCCTCCTTAGGAAAGGATGAAGGTGGTGCAGTTCGAGAATTCCTGCTAATAAAAGCCAGACTCTCCAATAAAGACCTTGGGATCACATCCAAATCAGAGCATTCGAAAAGATACTCAGTCAAAACGTTCTTGACTGCTGTTCTTAGACGACTATTTGAGACTTTAGCACTGGGGTCCAGCAGTGACTGAAAAACTTTCAGCTCCTGAAATCTAACTTTTGAGTTCAGTAGCCAAACAGCCTTCACAATTTCATCCTGCAAACTTCTAATTTCCGGTGCAAATTGGTAAAACTCCATTCCTGCGGATCTTTGAAAGCCTGATGCTAGCTTTAAAGATAACACTGCTATAGCCATTGCTTTAGCTAGTGGTTCTGGTATACAATCTCTTGAACCAAGATCCAGCAACATGTTTCTACTAGTTTTCCTCACTTTTTTTGTCAGATCATCTCGGCTCCGTCCACTTTTGAAGGTCTCCAACCGAGGAACTCTCCCCTGTACACATCTTAGTTTCCTATACATTGCAATCAGAGCCGGCATAGAGAGTTCCTCAAGTCTACCCAGGAGCTTCAAAGCCGCTGCCCTTTGAGAATGAGATGTAGGAGCCAAATGATTCAGACAATTTCCTCGGAAATTTCGTGGGTCATTTAGAAGTTGATAGAGCTTCTTAAAAGTAACATTATCCCATTGAGTGTTCTTTTCAATATGGCATACTTTACGGACAGTTTGCCTAACAAGTTTCTTCATCTTCCAGCGAGTTTTGTCAAACTCAACAGACCCCCTAGTAACTATCACAGCAAAATGATAAAGGCCCTTATTGGTCATATCATTTAGATGAGATAGAATTTCCTTTAGCAAATTAGGCATGTCAGATGATTTAACAATTTCTGCACCACCACTGCATCCTCGCTCCATATCATGCGATAAGATAGCTTCTTCAACATGCATCTTAGCAGTCTCATAGAATATCTGAAAATAAAGACAAGGTAATATTACAGTGAACAATAGTGCCAATGTAAAACTAGGCTGGAATTTGAAATTTCCTACTGCTAAGCAAATAAAGAGATGCGACTAACACAAACCAAGGAAGTGCCAAGCCAATTAAGAACCGATTGCAAGGGAAGAGACCTAAATAAGGAACTTGCACTTGTTTTTGAAAAATATACGAATCTCATGAGTACTTCTAAGAAACCAAATAGGTAATTATAAAACCACTGGAAGCCACGTGAAAACGCAGATCATTTCAAGCCAAAGACTGTTGAAGCTATGCTTTGAAGAAAAACAGAACAACAAGTAGTAGCAGTAGTAGTAAATAAGACAAAGGAAAATGTTCTTTTCCACCAGCAACTAAAGACGGTCGATAACAAATAGAAACTGTTAGGCACATCCACGAAACTTCCCTAGTTAAAACTTTTTCCACTTATAGTTTCTGGTGCACAGAAGATGCTTTAAATAAGCATCTCATACTCAACTTAGATTGATACAGCCCGAAATGCTAGAGAAAAAGAGGAAAATAAGACCAAATACAATATATCATAATGAATCCCGAAATGGCTTGATACTTGACACAAGAACTTACATCATCTTCCCTGAGCATCGATTCACGTAGGACCCTGAAAATGCACCGATAAATTCCTAACGTGAATTTCATGATTCTTTATGTATATATGAACACAAAGAAAAAAGGACCAGTTTATAATCTACCACGACACAAAAGCAGTGTAGAAGTAGCTTGCCCAAAAACCAAAAAACTTACTTTGTCTTTAAAAACTTCGGCCCTTCCAAATGCTTTAACTCTGACTTGGACAATGGTACCCCCATCAACCACCTACACGCAGTTTCAAAATAAAACTGTCGACTCACGATGAGAACATTGCATATCTAATTGGTTCTTCTGAGTCAATCGAACTGACCAGAAAACTCGAGAAGCATGTTGCTGTCCAATTCAACCCAAAAAAAGAAAAACATAAAATTCGCATGGTAAAAGAAACGGAGAAATAGTAGGAAGTACAAAGACTTCAAAAGGGAAGAGAGTTCGAGAGAGAGAAGGCTTCAATTCACTCCGCTACTTCGATCTTGTCCCATCAAATCCAACCAAAAAAATCAGCTGGAAAAAGAAGGAAAATCAAACAAAAAATCAACAAACCCTCATCTGATTAACAGAATTCTATCGACAAGCTAGCACCTTTCCCCATGCGTCAGAGCACTTCATCGAGAAGCTCCAGATTAAAACCACTTTAGCAGTCCTAATACCTTAGAACTCCAATGTCCTCGTCAATCAATCCTCTCCTTCCGAAAAAAAGAAAAGAAGATTGCATCGAAGCTAAAGATGCGCGGAATAGCGACACTCCATCAATACACGCGCATGCATCGTACAAACGAGAAATTCAAGACAATCCAAACGCGTAAAGGCAAAAGACCTTCTCTTTAGCGCCATCCGCTTCTCTTGATGCTTGACTTGCGACAGTACCGACTTGCAGTCCGTGTGGTACAGCCCCAAACCAGCCATGATCGATCGATCGAGATCGAGGTCGCGATCGTGAGAGATAGAGATTAGGGTTTCTGCGGGTGTTTGTAGTATGCGCGCCGGAGAGACGGAAGAGTTCGTTGAGCAACGGCTTTGGGGGAAAACAGGATGCAACCCGGGGAAAAAAAATAAAAATAAAAACGGGGCAAGAGATTCCGGTTCGGTTTGGGTCGGGTTAACCCGATGAAGTGGAGGAACTCTTCTTTCTTTCTTTTTCTTTTTCTTTTTTCTCTTTTTTTCTTTTTTTTTTCTCATTGTGGGTTAAATCATGATTGGGAATTTGGAATCATGGAGATCAATGATACTTATCACCCCGTTATAGCCTGGGTAATGAGGTTTTATTTCGTATAATTACGCTATTTGTGCAGTGTTTTATCTCCAAATTAAGCAAATCGAGTCACTTAATTGAATTATCAGATACAGCACAGCGTACGCGACATCCATTTGATTCTTTCAGTGAATAAGGTTGCGATAATAACATGGAAGTAGTGATTTCCAAATACCTCGATTCTTAAGAATTGTGAAAATAACCATTATTTTCATAATTATGGGGTCCAAAAAAGATATTATTGTCGAACTTTAGATAGCAACAAACTTAGCTAGATATTAGTTTATGTTATCGGTTACCTATTTAAAAGTGGATAAAACAAAAGAAACCTCAATAGATTTGGATTTTTTTCCCCAAAATAGATTTGGACTCGCTAACTCAGACATGGATGCCATATGGGTAGATTCAAACGACATTTCCAATGCTACTACATCTCGGAAGCTGGATAGGTAGATAATAAATAATAAGAACTGATGGCACATAGAGCCTGCAAAGACAAAATATCAATGTTTGAGATTTAAACTCAAGAAGGAATATTTCTTTGTATAGGTCTTATATACATATTGTCTCCCTCCATCTAAGGCTAAAGCTTTTGGATTGAATTTTGTGACATGGTATCAGAGCCGGTTTCCACCTTAATTTTTTTCACGTGTGAGACCCCCCGTTCATCAATTCCAAGTGCTGTTCTCAGTCTGGTTTGCACTTGAAAGGGGTTGTGAATGTATCCCATGCCACTTGTGTATACCTTCATAAAGGTCTATATATATGTTGTCTACCTTCACCTATGGTTTAGGTTTTTTGGTTGGACCTCATAGTCGTATTTTTAGTTGGTTGAGATTAATCAAATTCTTAAATGCAGAAACATATGTAAGTCTGTTATGTGATTCATTTAGTTGGTCGATTAGCTTTGACACATTTCAGTTCCCGGTTAAATATCAAATATGATGTCTTGGGACCATTTTTGGTTCCAAGTTTTCCGCAGTTGCGTGTCGTTACCTTGTTATTAGGTGAAACATTTTTCTTCTCTTAGATTGTGTCCTCAGAACGTGTTGAAGTAATTGCCTCAATCTTGATTTTTAAGGCAATGGATGAAGACATAGTTCTCTAGACCTATATTTAGAACTATAATTTAATGCGATGTTGTACAAATTTATTTTATGGACAGCTCATTTTAGCTTTTCTCTAATGCCAGATGCAAGGAGTGGTAAACTTTTTTGGCCGCATTTCAATTCTTATTGACCAAAATACTCAAGCCTTCCACATGTTTATGACAGCGCTTCTTCAGGTAGTCTTTTATGTCCCGTGGCTTCTCTGTTAAATGTAATTGCATAGTGACGTAATTATTGGGTTTTTCAGTCTCTATCTATTAAGAGGGTGAAATTATGATATTATGATTCAGCTACATAGACACTCTTTCACCTTAAACACCTGTTTCTCTCCCTGTCAAAGTTGACAATGCATAAAGTTTGTGTATCTCCCTGTGCGGAAATATGTACAAGCTCATGCCCATTGCGACGGTATTGTCCTGTCCGTATCGAGTATTCTGGAGTAAATTTGAATTAGGAAACCGCATTGCTTAAACTCTGTCAGTTTGCTGTGCAAGTTTCTTTAGTGGACTGCACTATGTAATTTAACTGAAGTGAAGGGGGCCGTAATGTTCATGGAGGAAAAGATAGATAGGTATTACTATACTGTTTGGTAAAAATTGGCTTGAAAGGAAAGTGCATTTGAAAAATAAATACATGATTAGGATCAAAGCTGAATCTGAGAGGGGAAAATTCTTTTTTTCCGCTTCTTCACTTTTTAAAGATGATGGAAATTTGAGACATGATTGGTTTCACTTGATGTCATTATCTGTAAAAGACCTTTAGCATGGTAAGAGCACTAGTACATTATGTTTTGTAACTTGTTTAGTACATTATGACTGTGAAAGCTTTTGTTAGGATTTTGTCTTCTTGTGATATTGTATTAATACTAAGCTCTCAGCAATCTGGTGTGTTACTGCAGCTTTTCGATCGATCTGGAATGTTATATGGTGAGCTTGCTAGATTTGTGTTGAGGTTGCTGGGGATCAGGACGAAGCCCAGGAAAGTCCACCCACCAGGCCCTGACGGACTTCCACTTCCTGGACCGGGCAACCCTCATGCCGTTCGGGGCTACAGTGAGGAACCAAAGGCCGCTCCGACTGGTTCTTGGGACAATGTTTGGGAAAATGATGCCTCTAGATAATGTTGGATCAGCTACTTTGCCTGAGTGCACACAGATTGGTCAAGAACGCAATTCCTGTGCGTGAGTGCCTGCGTGTGTGGATTTCTCGAGCGGACTGGATCTCTGTTGTGTTTTAGTGTAATTTGTTATCGTGCAGAAAGCACATATGATAAATAATAAAAGTGCGATGGCTTGGTTGAGAAATCTTGATTATAGTCGCAATAGCTACTGGAATGTGTTGAGTGAGAACTCATTCCTGTTAATTATGTTGCACCAGTGAATGTGTTGGAAACAGCAAATTAAAGGTTTGTTTTGGGAGGGTTGGACTGGCAAGAATATAGACCATTGGGAAATGATTTTCAATGGCGGTTGTTCGCGTACTTTTATTATCAAATGGTCTCTTACAACTTGGAATTGTGTGGGGAAGAAAGATCAATGACCTATTCAACCAGGTCTTTCCCTGTGCACCCTGTTTTATTATCAAATGGTCACTTTTATTATATAGGATGCTGAGCGTTCTCGCCCTAGTGAATAATTCTGTACGTGCCACCGATAACAATGTTCTTCGCATTACGACCTGCCATGAACAAGTTAAGCTCGTCTCACACACACCTCAACCAGAAATAAATAAGACATCCGCGCTTGACCAAAGACTTGGGCGCAACATTTGATCGAACCTGGGAAGCCACAAGGAGAGTTTATGTTCTCTGCTGAGTAAACTCGGCAATTTCCGAGGCTTGTGCACATCAGATGCGAGTCAGAACAACAAGGGGACTCTCCTTGCCAAACTTAGAGATTGAACTCAGGGAATTGATCTATAGCTGGTGTTAGGAAGAACAACATTCCGGGATTGAATATTGAGAAGGAGATTGGGAGATTCAACAACAGCTAGACTTTAAATTGGAGTTGCCGCATGTCTATAAGGTTAGACATATGAATTCTCCTGGGAAAAATGCTATTTAGTTACTAGAGCCTAGTCAACCAAAACACAGATTGAGAAGTAATATGGGTAAAATTAATGGAGTGCTCTTGTTTTTGCAAACCTACATTCCGTCTCAGAACAAAGAACCATGTTCGCAGAGCTCCTTTTCTCTCTGCTCTTGGATAGGAGTAGATTACTTCCTTTCACCCACATCTCTCATTGGAGGGAGGGGACATCGTGCACAGCTCATGCCGAGGTCGGCTCAATATAGGTGAATATGTCCCATGCAGACAGGCTATGACTCTCACAATTCCTTTGCCCGTAAGAGTCATCATATTGCCAGCCAAATTGGTCATGTGAGTGCCGACAGAGTAGTTATGTCCACAACCAGGAGACCTATGCCTTCCAAGCTGAGCCAATATCCATCCGAATCATGGCATCAGGATGGCCAACTGCTTTGAGATTACCATAGCATCCATTTCATCCACGAGGCATTAGGCATGAGGCCGAGTTGGTCTTCTTTCCCTGGCCGAACAAGTCAGCTTTTTGCGAGTCTTCTTATCTTTCCCCAGATAATTCCCCACAGAGGAAAAGTCTTCGACTCCCGCCATATGCAGCAATTAACTATGAAGCTTAATTCAAGCAAGATCCAGAGCTTACTCGAGGAACGAGGATATGATCCCCTTCCCATTGAGAGTTGACCTCTTAAGGAATGCTTGTGAACTCCTTCAATCTTTCCATCACACTGCACGAAAAAAAGGAAGAGTTTCGAGATAAAAGTACCAATTGGAAACAATAAACCGGACCTCGCAAAAAGAATCGACATGGCTTTGTGTTTTTTAGCCTCGAGACATGATCCCTCGGAAGCTTGCTATTGACGACTAAGGTGGGCCTAATTCTATTTAATTGATTAGAACTAAGCCTAAGCTATTTATCTAAAAATGAGGCTAAGTCTAAATTGATTTTATTTCTTGAGAATCGAAATTTTATATTGAAACTAATCCTAATGATGATTAAACTAACTATTACAATAGCGAGATCGGATTTGACATTGGTCTTAAATTACTGTCTTTAAGAGCCTCGGCCCCCTCCTCCATGGACCGCTTCGAGTGGCCTCCGTTGATGGTGTCAATTTCCATTCATTTAACTTATTTGCATAACGTGCACTCAATCATACAAAACAATCAACAATGTTCATCTAATCAAACATCGGAATAGCCTCGGGATCGGCTTTTGACTTTCAGGCATTACGATTATCTCAATCTCCCATTGATTAAGACTGATTGATTAATGGTTAATGACGATCGGCCACCACTTGCTTTTACATGACAACGGTCGCATCAATTAACCCTTAATTTGGTTCTAATCGATTTCCAATAGGCCACCCATCGAGCATGCATCGTACATAACATTCATCCAGCAAACACATGCATTTAATTAAACATGCATTTAGGTAATTTGACCTTGATTCTTAATCAATCATACAAGATGAAGCGAACCATCGAAGGGTCACTTATTCAGTTTAATACCAAATTTGGACTAATTATGCTCAAACTCAGTTAACCCATCAAAGGAAATCCAATTGAAATGATTCAAGCATCAATAGAAAGCTTAGGACGTACAGTTCAAAGTTCATGAAAAACCACATGACCCAGTTCTAAACCGAAAAACCCGAAATTGAGCAAAAAATACCCGACAGTTTGGAATTGACCCGGTTTTGACCAGCGAGATTAAAAAAATATGGAAAAATAGTTTGAAAATTCAAAAGTCTGCCAAATTTAAAAGACATCTTTCTCATTCAGTTATTAACAACTTTCATGTTTTAAAATTTCACAAACAAGCCCTCGAACTGTACGAAATTTGCATGTTTTCCCAGGGATTTCACTGAAAAACAGTTTTGTAGGCCGGGACCGACTTCTTCCCCCTAAAATTTTCTATTTGGTTCTCAAACTTTCCAAATCACTAATTAAGTCCCTAATGAACAACTTTTCAGTTTTGAGTGTTTGCAGAAAAGGACTCGAACTTCGTCGAATTTGCAAAACAAAGTCGATGAGTGTAGGAACCAGAAAAACAAATTAGATACAAAATCTAATCGTCTTTTTGGTTGATGCATAATGCCAATCCAATGATTTAAAATTTTTATTTTTTAAAAACTTGCAGTGTTGGCTACAATTTTTAGGAAGAACACTTTTCGAAATTTTGAACTCAGAAGATTAGAAAAATCTAAGAACCGAGAAAGGTCAGACAGACTCGAAATTCCTGTTTAATCTATTTGTGATCCTTAGGTCTATAACATGAATTAGCATGTTAATTTCGACCATAATTAATCAATTTCATTTGTTAAAGAACTCATTCAACATATTAAGTGTTCAACACCACAACAATCAATTTATAAGTTTGTATAGCCAGCTAAAAGTATTCAACGCTGTATTTTGAATATTTAGTGTTTCATTCTCTTGAGATTTCTAGTGTAGAGTTCTTGTTGTCTTGTACTCGTGAGAAGATTAAGTGTACAAGCTTGATTGCGGCATTTAGTCCTGATAGTGCGATCTATCATCTGATAGGATTAGTACTCGCAGGATGTAACTTATCTTGGTGATTACTAGTACAATCCAGCCCAAATTGTGGCTATTAGTTTGGAGAGTGGATGTACGCTTAGTAATAATGCCAAAGCACTATAAGTTGTTTTGTGCTCTCTTTACTTTTGCTGTTACATTATCTATTGGACATTCGTATAACCTGATATTTATCATATCAGCTTCTCCTAATTTCAAAGTATCGGTGCTGATTTCCACATAATTTTCAAAAGTTCATCAAAACAACCTATTCACCCCCTCTAGGTTTCTTAGTTAGTCTCAATAATTGGTATTAGAGCTCCGTTGCTTATTATTTGAAGTATATTACTTTTGAGCATAAAGATCTTTATCTATGGCTAACTTTGATGGTTTCTGTACAAGTGACTCTTGAGCACCTTGCAAGCCTCCATACTTTGATGGCAACAACTATCTCTGAAAGTAGAGAATGCAAGCTTACACTAAAGCAAGTGATTTCATCATGTGTGATGTGATCCAAAATGAATGGAAATAACAGTGCGAACTCCTGCTCAACAAGATGAAGAAAATAATCAAGCTACTGAAAGCCGCGAGCCTGCGGCTACTGCTACTCGTTTACAAGATGCTTAGAGAAGAACTGCTCAAAATGCTAAAGTTAAACATCTTTTTTATTGTACCTTATCTCCATATGAAGTTAACAAAATTTGATAGTGTATGTTGACACCTAATTTTGTCGACTCCGTAAATTGGTGCTTTTAAAATGTAAATGGGCCAAATTAGTGCAAAAGAGAGATAATAAGAGAGAATTATTAGAAAATGGGCAAAATTAGTGCAAAATAGTTTCTTCGTAAAGTGGGAGCTGTTGGTTAAATTGGGTAGTAGTTGAATAAATTTTCCTTAAATACTTTTTTTATAAAGTGGCAGCAATTGGTAAAAATATTTGAATAAAATTTCGTAAAATAGTTTCTTTACGAAGAACGCACAATAATGAGAATATAATAGGTACAAAAGTAATCCTTATAAATGTTCATAATGGAGAGAGATTATTTATAATATGTATACTTAAAGGATTCTTCACCGAATTATTCGAATAAAATTCCATAAAATAGTTTCCTTATAAGGCGGAAGTGAGATTTGTTGCTAAATTGGGAAATATTTGAAAGTATTTTTTTTTAAGTGAGAGTTGTTGGTAAAATTGGGGAATATCCGAAAATTCCTTAAAATAGTTTCCTTATGAGGCGAGAATGCACGATAATGAGAATATAATAGGTACAAAAGTAATCCTTATAAATGTTCATAATGGAGAAAGAATATTTATAATATGTATACTGAAAGGATTCTTCACCATAGTTTCCTTATGAGGCGAGAATGCACGATAATGAGAATATAATAGGTACAAAAGTAATCCTTATAAATGTTCATAATGGAGAAAGAATATTTATAATATGTATACTGAAAGGATTCTTCACCATAGTTTCCTTATGAGGCGAAAACGCACGATAATGAGAATATAATAGGTACAAAAGTAATCCTTATAAATGTTCATAATGGAGAAAGAATATTTATAATATGTATACTTAAAGGATTCTTTACCAAATTATTTGAATAAAAATACATAAAATAGTTTCCTTATAAGGTGGAATTGAGATTTGTTGCTAAATTGGGAAATATTTGAAAGTATTTTTTTTTTTAAGTGAGAGTTGTTGGTAAAATTGGGGAATATCCGAAAATTCCTTAAAATAGTTTCCTTATGAGGTGAGAATGCACGATAATGAGAATATAATAGGTACAAAAGTAATCCTTATAAATGTTCATAATGGAGAAAGAATATTTATAATATGTATACTGAAAGGATTCTTTACCATAGTTTCCTTATGAGGCGAGAATGCACGATAATGAGAATATAATAGGTACAAAAGTAATCCTTATAAATTTTCATAATGGAGAAAGAATATTTATAATATGTATACTGAAAGGATTCTTCACCATAGTTTCCTTATGAGGCGAGAACGCACAATAATGAGAATATAATAGGTACAAAAGTAATCCTTATAAATATTCATAATGGAGAAAGAATATTTATAATATGTATACTTAAAGGATTCTTTACCAAATTATTTGAATAAAAATCCATAAAATAGTTTCCTTCTAAGGTGGAATTGAGATTTGTTGCTAAATTGGAAAATATTTGAAAGTAATTTTTTTTAAGTGAGAGTTGTTGGTAAAATTGGGGAATATCCGAAAATTCCTTAAAATATTTTCCTTATGAGGCAAGAACGCACAATAATGAGAATATAATAGGTACAAAATTAATCCTTATAAATGCTCATAATGGAGAGAGAATATTTATAATAATGAGAATATAAACGCACAATAATGAGAATATAATAGGTACAAAATTAATCCTTATAAATGCTCATAATGGAGAGAGAATATTTATAATATATATATACTTGAAGGATTCTTCACCGAATTTCACTAATTATCATAACACTTCACAGTAATGAAATCTTTAACGCAATTCACGCTCGTCTTTGTCTTATCACTCTCCTTCATATCCTCTCTTCCACCAACGTACGCCACCCCTTTCAGGACGTACCATGTCCACATTGTCAACAACTTGCCCGGCGACTTCGCGCTGCTTTGCAAATCCGGTGATGATGATCTTGGGGCCCGGATCCTCCACCCAAATGAGGAGCAATTGATCCGTTTTAAGGTTAATATCTTTAGGACGACCCTCTTCTACTGCGCCGCCCGATGGGAGGAGCGATACAAGAAGTTCGACGCATTTAGGGCGCGTCGGGATGAGGACAGATGCGACAACGTGGATTGCTATTGGTCTGTGCGAGACAACGGGTTTCACTTCAGCAACGATAACACCACGTGGAGCCTCGAGTATACATGGGAATAACAATGCATCACATGTGTGATTGGAGATTGTTTTGATTGAATAAAATGACACGGAATAAAGTCAACTTGACTCGTATGTTTTCTATCGTTTGCAATTGCTTTGCATTGATGGCATTATATTATCCATTTGCGGGCTTCCTCATATCACAATGAAATCGAGGACTGAATTCACCCACAAGGATAATCAAAGACCGATTGACTTAGGTCAGATTAAATTCATCGAAAACCCATGGTTAAAACACTAAAAAGTCGCGGATACATTTTTACGTATTAATATTTCTTG